AAAGCGTGTGGACTTTGGCATGGCATAGTAGATGTTTTACAGCGCTAATATAGACACAGAAATGACAGTTATAGCGCTAGTGAGGACCTTGTTTATATATAATATTCGGCTAGTGTTTGTTTCTGGCTTCTTTTATTTTATTATTGTGGGTGTTTTACGAGATAGAACATTAACAAATTTGGGGCGGCACTGCACGACCATGCTCAATGGGCGAACCGGGCCTGCTTTGGAGGCGCTTGAATCAAAAAGAAAAAAAAAACCTTTACAAAAACAACTCACTTTGGAGGTGCTGGCATCCCTGAACTGTCCCACCGGACATGGTATACAGGCACTGCTGGTCTCGTTGGCGCCCGGCTGCCCACTCATCGAAATGTTGAACTCGAGACCATTTCCGCACTCCACTGTGTAGTTATATATAGAATATGGAATAAATCAACCGAAATAGTGACTCAGATAACTCTTTAACCCTATCTGTACGTCTACCTCCTTTAAATGCAAATAACTCATTTTCTATTCAAGATATCTGGGAGTTCTTTTCATCAAAAGTAAGAGAAATGAACATGATTTAAGATGATATCAATAACTCTTGATACCAAAAATTGACGATTGCCTGATTCCACTGCGTTGTGACACACATGTTAAATAAAAAAACCAAACCCTTTTGAAGTCTTACCACGTGAGTGGTCGGTGGGTACTCTGGTGTGGCTTGCTCTTTCTTCCTCTATCAAACATCAATTGTCCTAATCTCTCCTCCTTCTTATTTGTGTTTGTTTCTCTCTTGTGACACATCTAATCTTCCCACGCTCATATGACCTTATGCAGTTGCGAGCGCTGTAAAACTCTTAATAAAACAAAAAATCTAATCTCCGACACTTATATGACCTTAATGTGTTGCAAGTGCTGTAATAAAACTCTTATTCAAGTCTTACCAATACAATAGCGATCTGGATCAGTGGCTCCAGTGATGAGGGTCGTGAACCCGCCCGGGCAGTTCATGCACATGGTAGCATTGCGGAGTGTAGTGTCGTTCCTGTACGTTCCTTCAGGACATGGGCTGCACGTCTCCGATCCAGATGGACGGTAGTGACCCCGGTCACAAACAGCTGCAAAGAATATCACAAATACTGTCAACCTCATCCACAAATATCAGTACAGAATGACACAAATATGGTTAAGCTTGGTCCCAAATATCAGCAGAGAATGATACAAATATGGTTAAGATCGGTCCCAAATATCAGCACAGAATGATACACATACAGTCGAACTTGCTCTAATGGCCACTTGTATAAAACAATCATCTGTTTATCAGCACAGAATGACACAAATACAGTCAACCTCGTCCACCAATAGCTGAACAGAATGACACAAATACAGTAGACCTCATCCACAAATCGTGACCTCAGTGCTTTCTAGCCGTATCTCCATTTTTTAAACAGTGAAAATGTGTCATCTTCTTAAGCTCCCTCTTTGTTATGAACTGTTTTCACTGGTATTAAAAATGGACTGGGGTCGCGAAAAAGCTGGACAGAATGACACAAATACAGTCAGTCAAACTCGCTGTAACGGCCACTGGTATAAGACAATCATGTGGGTGAAGGGTGGGGGTGGGGGGTTGAGTGGGGAGGTAAGGTTTGAGAGACAGGCTGATGAATGAACAGAACTAGAGAGCAGATAAGGAGGGCATAGAAATTTTAGGGAACTAAATTCTTGTCATTGCTGGCCGGTTTTGATTCCAGGACTTTTTCGACTGAGAGGTGAACATCATACCTTTTGACCACTAGAATCCCTAACTATAAATATACACTATTCAAATGTTTCCTTTCCTACCTGTCACATTTCTTTCATTTCAGTAAAAATACATATATAACAAATAACCCTAAAAGCCATACTCATTACGACTTCAAAATGACTAAATCTCAACAAACCACATTGGAGATTTTAGTTTGTTTAGATGAAACAATACAGACCTGCCTCTATGAAATCTAAAAATCAGGATCTCAAGGGGAAAAATATCGGGATCTGGAGAAAAATATCAGGATCAACGACAAATCTCCTTGGGGACTGCCAAGCTGACTTAAAAATTTTCCAAATATATGAAGGCAGAGAAAGTTTTTAGAAAAGCCCGGAGCAACACACAGAACAAAAAAAAATCGGAACACACGCCATAGAAATCGGGATGTTTGAGATTTGGGCCAAAAAATATGATTTTCCTGATGAACAGTTTGCCATCACAAGGCTCATACAGTAAAAACCCTTGCCATCAAAGGCAACAGCATTGAGGAGAAAATCCAAAGAAACGGGATGGTAAACATCGCCAATCGGCGAGATGTGACATTAAAGTGTTAAATTGAGATGAGTGGCAGGTCTGAACAATACACATTCTTGATTGTAAAATTCCAGCAACAGACGATGAGCTTACCAAACTGACAGAAATCTGGCCCTGTAGCACCGGTGGAGGCTGTGGTTAGGTTTCCACACGGCTGGCATTTTGTGTCGAGATTCTCGAAACTTTTGTATGTACCCACGGCACATTCTTGACAAGTCCGTGAATCCCTTATCAAGTATTTTCCTGCTTCACATTTAGCTGGAAAAAAAATTAAAGAAATAATTGAATAAAAATAAAATTCCACTGCTTTAATTCATGTAGAGGAAATTGGCTTATAATGGCTCATAAAATATTTTATCTGCCAACTCCTTCAAAATAAAAATACAGGCTCTATCTATGCAGCAAGTCAAAATGATGGGTGTTAGCCAAATTACCCAACGCCCCCCCCCCCCCCCCCCCACACCCCCACCCTTCACACACATTTTTCTGCTTTCAATAAATTCAAGCTATTCATAGTAGACACCAACAAACAGTCTTAGGTTTTCTTCTCATTATTATTCGCAAATCCTGTTTTGATGGGCAAGTCTGTAAGGATTAACACAAGTAAACAGAGAATATAACGCATTTTCAATAGAAAAATGATCTTTGCATACTCAGAAGACCCTCCAAAAACATTTGAGGAGCTTTAATTCTTTAATCCCAAAGTGGATGATACGAGCATCCAGTGAAACTCGCCTAGTCTCCCAGTGGATGGTCCCAGTGTCAGGTCAGATCACAGGGTACATGCCGCTAATGTAATTTCTTACGAATCCAAATTGATTTGTTTTCACTTGGAAGTGTTAGATAAATGTTTAAACAACCTCCTCTTTCACTTTCACTGTTCCAGCCATTTTATGATTATTTTGTGTGTATCCCCTATTACATGTTTAGTAAGATCTGGAAAAAATTCTGTCAAAATGCGGAAAATAATTCCCCCTCATATACATCTATACATAAGACAAGGGTTGTTTGCAAAGGGTAAAATGTGCAAGGGGAGGGGGGGGGGGGTGTATGTGTATGATTATGTGTTCAAACCCTGAAACTCTGAAGATAAAAAATATTTAAGAGTGGAGCTTTCGTATATCAAAAGATGTCAGAAAAACTGCATCTTGCCCCAAAATCAAAAGTATCAAACTATATACTATGAATATATTGTTTTATATAAAACAAACAGTATTGAAATCTTACGGAAGCAATCAGATTGACTTTCGGACCCCATATTGAAAGTACTGGCAGGCCGCCCACTTATGAGTCCACATGAAAGGCAGCTTTCTTGATCAAATGAGGGCTGATAATCTCCTACTGCGCAAGGCTTGCATGTGGCACTGTTCTCTCGGAAATATCCCACAGGGCATGTCACTGGAAAATATCAAATGTTGTTGTTAGCGATCCAGTAGCGTGAAAAAATCAAATAAAAAATTTAAAGCGATGATTGAAATATAAAGGGTAAACATCTACAAATATAAAAGATAAAAGATTAAGAAAGGCAGATGTCAGATAGATAACTGAAACCCATTAATAAAAAAAATCAGATGTGAAGTGTGCTGACAAAATGGGTTACTTCTCAGATTTAAACCTTTTGGAAATAAATACATCACGCTTATAAGTAAAGTTTTTACATTGTATAAGTATGAAATAACAAAAGGCATATTATAGATACTTTAAAGAATACGGCATCAATAGAAAATCAGCAAATTTGAAAGTAGTGTCGATTTTTTGCCAATACCTCCATTTCTGGATTGCGAGAAGTAACTCATTTTGTCAGCAGGCCTCACAAATAGCATTTTAATAAAGAGCAAGAACAAGATCGATAACAAGGACTGCGGTAAGAAAAAAAAGGCCCGGAGAGTTTCTGGCTCCACCTTGAATGTACACAATTGTCCAGTATTTTAAGCTCTCATCACAATTTTAAAACATACAACATTCCACCCAGCCAGGCCATCAAACTTGCTAGAGACAAAAAGTTCTTTCTCCTCTCGATGCCCTAGAAGCATAAGAGGACGGGTAGAGTACGTAAGTAAGTAAGTATCACAATTTAAACCAATTTGTGAAAGAGGGATGGGAGTAGGGGAGGAGGGGGTGTCTTTGTCTGTTAGAAATGGTCGCTTTTAAGGACAAGCGAGCTAACCCAGATTTCGGGGGTATCCAGAAATCTTGACCTACACCAAAATTGGGCATTACCCTACCTATAGGAAAAGTTTGGTTTCATTAGTGTGCATATTTGTTTGGTTATAGAGAAAACTCTCATTGCCTTTTAAGGAAACTGAACAAGGGGCAGAAAGTTTACCTTTGATTTTCTCAAAACAGAATTTTTCGGGATTGCCCCCTTGTGCTTAAAAGTGACCAAATTAATTCAAGCTTTGTAGGATACAGTATCCGAGCACATGGATGGAGACACAGGATAAGAAAGCTTCATCGATCTCCCCTCTAGAATGAAACTTATGTCTCCAGTGTAAGAACAAAGTGCTCCACCACAATGCCACAAACATCAGTAAAAACAAAACAAAAAAAGAAAAGAAATAAAGACAAGCAAGGTTGCTGACATAAACATCAAACGAAGAGAGGCAGAAAGAAGAAGGGAACATCATCACATCTCTGATATCAGGGACTTCATGACGATCATGTTTCGTCGTTGTTCTTTTTGGCGAGTGCTAAAATGCTTATCTTCAAATTCTTCTTCTCTCTCTCTCTCTCTGTCTCTCTCTCTCTGTCTCTCTCTCTCTCTATCTTTCTCTCTCTCTCTCTCTCTCCACCCTCCTCCTCCTCCTCCCCTCCCCCTCCCTCTCCCATTCCAACTCCTCCCCCTCCACCCTCTCCTCCTCCTCCTCCACCCTCTCCTCCTCCTCACCTTCCACCCTTCTCCTACACCCTCCTCCACTCTCCCTTTCTCCTCCTTCCTTTCTCTCTTCTCCCCCCTTCCCTCTCCCCTCCCCTCCCAACCCCTTCCCTCTACCCTAAAACAGCTGTGTGAAGACTACACCAGGGCCAATGTGACCTCAACAACAGCACACTTCAAACGTGTAGCGGGAAACTGTGCTTGTTTAGTTTTATTAGAGGTTTTAGGGCACTCCTAACTGCATAAGGTCATATTATGAGCGCCAGAAGATAAGAGGTGTTACAAGATTTAACAAACAAAAAAAAGAAAAAAAAGAAGGGGAGATAAGGACGATAGATGTTTGATAGGAAAGAAGAAGTAAACCACACCAGAACACCTGCCAACTTCCTACAAACTGTGCTTGGACACAACAAATCGCATACCTCGACAATCTGAGTCTGTGGCAGAAGCCTCCTGGTCGGTTGTCTGATTCTCTCCACACGGAATACAGGAGTTGGAACCCTTAGAGCCTTGAAATTGTCCGATAGGGCACGGCATGCATTCGTTGATAGAGTCGTTTCTGAAGTAGCCAGGATCACAGACAACTGTTGAGGAACAGAGGAACAAAACGGATAGAATCAAGATTCTACTGGAACAACACTTTGCAGTCACACAGCCAGCAGTACCAAATATCTGTCTCCGTCGTTTTATTCACGAAAAATTTTGAAATTATGCAAACGGAGCCCAAAAATGTGAAATTATGCGATTCTGTTAATTTTAACAAAGAATGATAAAAGAAAATAATCAGAAATTATGAAAAAAATGATCAAATTTTGCAAAATTATGCAGGGTGCATAAAACCACGGGGAAAGAAATACCCCACCTGGTCACCCAGCCAAGAGAGGAGAGACTTCAACAGACTTCTCGGGCCTGGCGCAGTACTGAAACGGATAATTTTCACTGGTGCAATAATGCGCCAAGTGACCGCAAAGTGTTTAATGGCCACGATTAACCCTTTCAACCCTGCCCCCCCCCCCCGTACACTAGTGGCGGGTAAAACTGTCCATATCCCTAGCCACTGGTACACCAGTGAGCGAAACCCCATCCCTAATCCGTCCTGCCTGAGAAAAAATGTGTACGGAAAACAGTGTTTACTATACAAGACAGCGTTGATCTTTTAAACAGATCTATCTGAATTAGATGCTGGTGATGACAAGGACTACCCTGAGTGGGATTTGGAATGTGATTCTGACGATCAAATACATGAATGTCAGTAATATGTCGCTCAGGCGCTAAGGCAGAGGGGCACGGTAGCCTCAGGAGGTCAGGGCTCTTATGACAGCTACCCAGAACAAGAAAATCCAAACAGTTATCCGATTCCCAAACCTACTTCACAGACATTTTTGGTCAGTGAAAAAAGTTGTAGTCCACCCACAAAAAAATTAACAGAGACTGAACAAGATATAAAGTCACAAACAAACAAGTCTGAATTCTTAAATGTTTTACAAGTAGTGAGCTGTATGCTCATTTCACTAAAATTGGTTGCTGAATACAAAAAAGAAGGTTTATACTCTGAAGTCGATTCTTCAAGGTACATGTAGGTATAGAATGTGCTGTATGATTAAGACATCGTTGCTACAACTAAGCTTAAATAGTAGACCCTACACTTAGAGGGTTGTGAGACAAGGTTGGGGACATGTAGTCTATTGTATTTACTGTTCAAAGGCAGATCCTACATATACAGCAAAAATACTCTAAGGTTTCACACTTTCCACTCAAGCTTTTCATTTACAAAGATGAAAAACAACCAGGATATGTGAAAACAATGTAAAACTAACGTTTTTTCCTTTCATACTATGACAAAAAAAACCCACAACAGATTTAACACAGTTTTGTTTAGATATCAATACCACTCATGTTCTGATTTTAGTCACACTATTTGCAAATTAAAGCTAAACAATAAATAAAACTGTAAGTGTTACCACGGCAATCGGTCTCCACTGTAGAACCCTTCTGTAGAGTTGTTGTGTCATTCGGGCACTTCTTGCAAGCTTCTTGGCCTTCTTCATCCTGGTAATAAGCTATTTCACATTCTTCACACACATTACTGTCGCTCCTCGCCTGTCCAATTTCACAGATTTCTGTGTTGGGTTTAAAGGAGAATTGTGAATCAAAAGGGATGATAGTACATATAATAAGGTAACAGTGGGATAAAACCATCTACATATTCAACACAACTTTAAGAAATTGATTTAATCATTCACTAAAAGTAAACATTAATAAAATCAATCAAACAGATATGACAAAAATTTACCACAAACTTCCATTCTCAGAGTAATTATTCCTTTCCACATTAAATTTTCTCTGCGTCTCACTAACCTTCTCAACAAAGAATAGTACACCGTGATCAGACATGTTTTATTTAACCATTTCAACAACCAAAATAATTAGATAAGGCACAACTGCAGACATTTGGGTAATAATGACAAGGGTAACCCAAACCTAAAATAACTGAGAAGTTGCAGCGACTTAACAACACATAATAATAATAATAATAATAATAATAATAATAATAATAATAATAATAATAATAATATAATGATAATAAGAATAATAATTTATAATAATAATAATAATAATAATAACAATAATAATAATAACAATAATACATAATAACAATAATACATAATAAAACATAATATGATAATACATAGCATTTGCACAAAGCAAATTCCCACATGGTAACAAGCTCTATGCACTTCACAATCTATACTATTACCCCAGCAGACTGAGAGCATTCTGAAACAATCTTAACTTCCTTGGAAGCTCACATTTTGACAACCCTGCACTAGGGTTATTGCATCTAGCTCACAAACATACCCCCACCACCAGCCACCTATCAGCAAAATCGCTGACATATCTTAACATTTATTTGTGAGCTTTAACTCACCTCTCACTCCACTTCTTTAGTTTTAGAAAGAGTTTTAAGGCACTTGTGACGCAAATACATGTAGGTCATACAAGTACCAAAGATTAGTGGGGCTACTAGAGAGAAAAATCTCCATTTAATTTTTTTTCCAAATGTCGCTTAGCGGGTTTTGCATCTCACCCTGTCACTTACAGTCAAGCAATAAAGAAAACTGATCCCCCCAGGGCAGTGACTGAAGTGTCTTTAGGCCATTCCCAAAGGGGGGATATCAACATGTTCTTATGCACGGTAGAATTGTAAATGGGCCAATTTATCAGTGTCACGCTCATACTATGCAGGAACAACATAGGGGAAACTGCTGCTTTTTCTTTCCCCATCCTTGCTATCATCCTTTTTCCACTACTTCTTTTATGTTTGTCACTCTCTTGTGAACTGTTATTTCCGAGGTGCCTTGATAGTCTTTTGTGCTGTTGAGGCTAGACAGGTGAGCAGAGTAAGTCTGATTCCCTGTGCGTACTTCTCTGTTGACATCAACCCCTTGGCACTCATATGACCTTATGCAGTTACGAGCGCTGTAAAACCTTACTAAAACTAAACTAAAAGGAACACTGACACTGTTTGCACGTTAATGTACACGTACTGAGATAGCAGTCCGATGCTTTGGTGCTTGCAATGCCCGCTGTGGTGATTCTGTCTTCACATGCGGTACACTCATGGTTCCCACTCACATTCTTGTAGGAAGCCATGGGACACGGGGCACAAGTAACATTGTCCGGAGAGTAGAAACCAGGTACACAGAAGACTGAAATACAGCACGCAAGATTAAAATACAGCTGTTTTTAAAAATCAGCTGAACACTGACAAAAAGCCAGAAACACGAAAAGTGAACAGAATGAAGAAACACGAAGTGTCAGGCTATATCGTTAAAGCATTTCTAAAGAACTATCATGAGATCACACCCTGGGATCTCTTTCTCTTTAATTGAATTAATATTTGGAAGTATTAAATTTCACTAAACAAATGACAGAAAATTGATCTTAACAAAGTTTGGATACAAAAGACGTAAATTACCATGTCCAAATTAGAAAGACTGTGTTTCTGCTCTGCTGGATAGATCAGTAATGACAGGCTGGAAAGATTAACATGCCTAGACAACAAAACAGCCTGCCTAGGGTTAAAAGAAAAACAGCATGCTGCAGGAGAGTTAGAAATATCTCCTCGCAGTTTGTTTCAGGATATTGGGACACATCTGGGACACAATAATAATTATCAGCTCGTCCGTCAATGTTTGACAATGACCAATACATCCACACAGGAGAATATTTCTCCAGCGAAATAGAAGAATTTGAAGAATTAAAGATTACGATGACTTGTGGCTTCTGCTGAGGCTGATGAGATCAATTCTGGCAGACAAAAGTTTGCCACATTTTGAACATTTAAAGGCTCCACTTCCACTTAAGGATGTGCGCAGCTTGCCGGTTTGTCTCTTGGTTCCCTTAGTTCTTATTCATGAAGCCTTATATGATTTACTGCCCACTTAAACTGCTGCTTTCCAGCTGGGTCTGTTGGGAGCAAGGCTCGCCCATGTCGATGGAATTATGTTGAAATCCTTCAGAGATATTTTCCAGGTGTTTGATTTCAGGGGGACATAATGTCATCGAAAAATGCATCCAGGTTAACTTCACATACACAGTTGAACGTTACATGTAAGATGTCCACTTGTCTAAGATGGCTACTATTTTCCTTGACATTGGGTGGCTTTCTCCAACAATCTTGATTGTATTTCTTTGTGTGCATGACATACAAGTACATGTTCAACAAGTAAAATAATTTGCTTGAATATTTGTAACAATGGCTAAAGCAGAGGTGTATATATATTTCATTGTTTCATCTTTCTTAACGAATGGATGTGTGTGTATGTGTTTGTGTGTGTGTGTGTGTGTGTGTGTGTGTGTGTGTGTGTGTGTGTGTGCATGTGTGTGTGTGTGTGTGTGTGTGTGTGTGTGTGTGTGTGTGTGTTTATGTATTTGTATGTATGAGGGTTGGGAGGGACGGGGTTATGAGAGGGGGGGGGGGAGTGAGCTGCCTCCTCAAGCTTAGGTGACCCACCTTGCGAACAATCACTATCAGATCTGCTTCCCTCTCCAATGGTGGTTGTATTTCCAGGACACTGTTGGCAAGAAAAGTTTCCTCGAGAATCCTTGAAGAAGCCCTGAGCGCAGGTCTGACAAGAGCCATTGCTGTATCCTCTCCCATAGTCACAGAACACTGCCATAGAAAAAGATCAGTCTTATTTAGAAAACATACATCATTCAGTAAAAGGGTACAACAGTTCAATGAAATTTATAAAGATTGGAATTGAGTATGTGATAAATCAAACAGGGACCAGGTAAAAAAAAACCCCATAAAAAAACAGGCAGCATGAGGATCATGTATAAGAAAATGCAAAATTTACGAATTTAAAAAAAACCTGAACTAGCTCTTGTATTATGTATTTCAAGAAGATATTAACTCTACTCTCTTGACAACTGAAGCATCTCATAAAAACACAGACTGTTTCACATAATTTCTGATTATAACAACACAGACTGTTTTTCACAATTTCTGATCATAAGAACACAGTTTCACAATTTCTGATCGTAAGAAGACAGACTGTTTTACACAATTTCTGATAATAACAACACACACTGTTTTATCTCAATTTCTTATCATAAGAACACAGACTGTTTCATACAATTTCTAATCATAAGAAGACAGTTTCATACAATTTCTGATCATAAGAACACAATTTCACACAATTTCTGATCTTAAGAAGACAGTTTCATACAATTTCTGATCTTAAGAACACAGACTGTTTTACACAATTTCAGATCATAACAACGCAAGTCTGTTTCACACAATTTCTGATCATAAGAACACAGGTTTTATTTCAATATTGAGTAGCAAATTTTCTTACACGAGTTGCAGGCTGATCTATCATCCTCGGTCGACGTGTAGTCTCCGGTGCATGCAGTGCATGGTCCAAACCCGGGCAGTTCCTTGAAGAAGTCCTCCTTGCAGCTGGTGCAGTTTTCCATCCTCTCCTCTTGTCCCGCTTGACAAAAGACTAGAAGAGCAATGGTCAGACCCATTAGTATTTATTATCATCAAGTGCCAGAGCTGAAGTGGACATTGACAACATGGACCGAAGCTCAAAGCGGAGAAAAAAGTATCGCTCTTGTAGGCTCCAGTGAGGAAATTTAGACTCATTGGCATGTGCAGTGCATTTATGATGAACCGATTGAAAATTAGCATCACCGACATAAAAGACACAATATCACAATACAGAAAATACGAACATTGCAAAACAGCCAACTGTTCGCTTTTTTTGGGGGGTGTGGGGTGGGGGGGGGGGGGATTGTTTTTTTTTCTAGGGAGGGTGGGGGGGAGTTAGAACAGTGTGCCTTACTCAAGAACACATCTTAAAGACCATCCATGTAAACACTGTATCATCTATATATGTTGCTTGACATTATTTGAGGGCCAAATCACACCAGCCACTGAGCCAGCACAGTCCTCCCCCCCCCCCCCTCCACAACTCTGGTGACAGGAGTAAATAAATGAATTATGAAAGGATGAAAAGGGGAAAGCAAAAGAGGGTGTCACCTGTGCATTCGTTGGCGTTCACTGCTCCATCCCCACTGGTGTTTTTGTTTATTGGGCACTGCATACAACCCCGTTGTCTTGGCAGGGGCTGGTAGGAACCAACAGGACAAAGCGTACAATCATCGTCATTGTTTGTGTCGAAGAAAGACCCCGGTGGACAGTCGCCTGAAAAACATTTGGATATGCAATCAGGAGGATTCTTTAGTTAAGTTTAGGTATGAGTTTTATGGCACTAGCGACACAATAAGGTCATGTAAGTTCCGAAGATTAGAGGTGTTACAAGAGAGTAACAAACAGAAAAAAGGAGGAGGAGAGATCAGAACAATAGATGTTTGATAGGAAAGAAGGAGCAAACCACACCAGAGCACCCACCAACCACCCACAAGGGGGATACTTTAGACACGCTTTTCGATAACATAAACGAAGTAAATGTAGAAGCCAGATCAAAGATGACAACAGATAGAAAAATAAAGATAACTGTCACTTAAGAAGGTATCACTTTGAAGAACAAAAGAAGATGGAGGCACAGATAAAACTGTGGCTTAATGTGATGGTCACACACACAAACACACACACACACACACACACACACACACACACACACACACACACACACACACACACATATAGACATGCATACGCGCACACACACACATACACAGACACAGACACACACACACACATGTACACACACACACACAGACATGCACACAGACTCACACACACACTCACTCACACACACACACACACACACACACACACACACACACACACACACACACACTTGCATACACACATTCACACACAGCACTGGGAGAGGGATAACATTCCTTTGTGTTGACCACAACAAAACATAATATGCATCCAAAAACAACAGTGCGGTGAAATAATTTATAATTATGAGTCTTCATGTCATATGATCATGCTGATGTAACTGGTCGCTTTTAAGCACAAGGGGGTTATCCTGAAAAATGCTGTTTTGAGATAATCGAAGGTAAAGTTTTTGCCCCTTGTTCAGTTTCTTTAAAAGACAAGAAGAGTTTTCTCTATAACCAAACAAATATACACACCAATGAAACCAAACTTCTCCTATAGATAGGGCAATACCCACTTTTAGTGTGGGTCAAGATTTCTGGAAACACCCAAAATCTGGGTTAGCCCACTTGTCCTTAAAAGCGACCTATTCTTACGTAGCGAGCAGTTCGCAATGTCTGTGGCATTCTCCAAAACCTCTGTGGTGAAGTCTTCAGGACAGGACTGACAGCTTTCAAATCTCAGACTTGAGTTTCCGTTGTTCCAGTATCCCCGCTGGCAGTTCTCACACGAACTCGTTGTCGAATTGAATCCCTGGCCGGCCGAGCAGAAAACTGTCGGGAGACATAACAGTATGACGCGGTGTTCACAAACAGATGTGTTGACATAAATCAAAATTAACCCTATCCCTACGTCGTGTTTTACTATCGTTTCCATATGGTGTGGGGAACTCTGTGCCACCACTTTCCAAAGAGGAAATTTGCTTGTTAATCCGATTCCAACGCTTTGCTAGCAGTCTGTCAAAATGATTTTTTTGAGAAATACTGAAAGATTCAAAGAGATCTTCACTCTAGAAGTATTCTAAAATGTGAAGAATACAACCTCTGGGGTACAAAATGACCCCAGGGCATACGGATAGGGTTAAGGACTTTGCCACCTCAGTGCTTTCTTTTGGTATCTCCATTGTTAATTTAACAATAGTGAAAACAGTTCATAACAAAGAGTAAGCTTAAGAAGAAGTCATATTTTTCACTGTTAAAAAAAAATGGAGATACCACAAGAAAGCACTGAGGTGGTGACTTTTTAACACCTTTCCTGCCCCAGTCATTTCCATTTCCCGTATAGCGTTCATATGACCTTATTCAGTTGTGAGCGCCGTAAAACATGACTTACTAAAACAAAACAAAAAACCGAATTCTAATTTCTCCCAAGCGCAGTCATGTTTATTTCCATTACGAATTCTAATCCCTCCAGGCCTGTTCTTATATATTTCCCTCAAAGGCTGCCACCAATCTCAAATCCAGGTGGGTAATTTTACCGTCGATCTCAAATTCAGGTCGGTAATTTTACAGTGATAGATCCAATTATCTCAGGAAAAAATATTCTACATGTTATCTTCTTAAACTTCAAACATAAAGCAGCTTAAAAAAAATTGTTTTCATGTCTGCAAAAAACATCTGGGCCACGCAGAAGTGACTTTACAAAAAAAAACATTTCTGGTCAAGTAGAAGCAACCAGTGTATAGAACTTACATCTAAGACAATAAATTTGTTTCTTATCTTAGATTTGAAGCTGGCCAGTCAAAAAGATTCTTGCCCACAGCCAATGCAAAAATCATACCTTACTTTAGTAATTAACAGTTCGTGATACACTATTTTTAGTGGAGATCAGAGAGCCATTAAACAGAATAATTACACAAATCAGGAGAACAGCCCCCTTTTTTCTTCTTGTCCATTATTAATCAAAATTGTCGGATGTATCTGTAGATCTAATACATAACAATACTGCCATAATTTTTAGAAATACAGCGTGTACAGTTTTAACAATTTTACAGGAGAGCCAAAAAAAACCTGAATGTTATGCCAACAAAACAACATTTGCTTTAAAGATAACAAGGTAGTTATTATCAAAATTGTATTCTTAAAAATATTGACTTGGGATGTAGGCAAAAAGCTTGGCTTTTCTTTTGGTAACAATAATCAGTGGTGGGTTGTTTTTTTTTCGCTCTCCAGTTATTCATTCATTCATAACGAGCCAGATCTACAGCACACATTGACTCTGCTGTAAAATTGTAAAAACTGCATTTACTGTATTTTAAAAAATGATGGCAGAACAAAAAAATTACCTTTGCAGTCATCTGGTGCAGTGCTTGCCTTTGAGACTGTTCCTTTGCCATTTTTACACGTTTGGCATTCAGTAGAGGGCACAGGGAGGTCTACGTCCTGGTAAGTGTCAAGGCCACAGGGGATGCAGTCCTGGTTGCTCGCAGACAAGATATAACCCTTCGAGCAAACCTCTGAGGATGGTGAGAGTACCACAATGTGTTTATCTTCGGCGCTACCTAGACTCTTCTTCCTATTTAAGGGTTTTAAAAAATTCAGTTGCCTTGAATATAGTACGTCCATTTCAGCAAAGCCCTTTACACTTTGCGTACGGTCTGCACAGGGTGCAAATATCTCAAAGAGTCCCGAAAAAAATGACAACTTTCACAAGTTAATGAAGCCTGAAAACAATGGCAACTTACTTAAATCTGTTTATAATTCCTGATAACTACAGCAATTTACATAAAGCTGTAAATGGTTCTTAATAACAATGGTATAAATCTGTTTATGATTCCTGAAAACAGTGGGGATTTACATATATTTATGCTTTATATCAAGTGAATCCTGATAACTATGGTGACACACTATGTTTACACTGGATGACAATTGGTAACAAGGGCTTCTTACATATATATAAAGTGACTCCTGATAGTGTGGGCGATTTACTGATGTTACACTGAAAGAACCCTGATAATATTTAATTTGTGACCTACTTATGAAAGACAACATTGGGGATTTATTTAGTAGGTGGTTGGCGGGTGCTCTGGTGTGGTTTGCTCCTTCTTTCCTGTCGAACACCTATCATCCTTAACTCCTCCGATCTCCTTCTTTTTTGTGTTTGTATCTCTCTTGTAACACCTCTAATCTTCGGCACTTATATGTTTCATTGTGTTGCAAATGCCGTAAAATCTTACTGAAACTAAAACTGGCTTACTGATGTAAGAATCCTGGCAAGATTGGTGACTTACTTATGTTACATTGATCGGCAGATGTGCTGGTCTCTCCTACTGTTGTGAACATTGAATCTGAACAGTTCATGCACATGCCAAACGGCATGCTGCTATTTTTGTACGTGCCACGGGGACAAGCGACACAGCCATCTTGCGAGTCGTTCACCTCATAGCCAGCAGGGCACGTGTCTGTGGTGAGAAGACAAAGGCAATCATAAATAATGATAAAGATAATAACACTCATTTTACTAACTTTTTCCAGCCTCTATTACCTGGAAATGTTGAGTGGAGATGCAAAATAGATTTATAATAAAAGACTGTCTATTAAGCAACACATGTCCCAACTAAGAAGAAAACTCTATGTACTTATATAACTTATATAAGGTCCTATGAGCGCCAGAAGATTAGAGCGCTTATATGACCTTACGCAGTTGCGAGCGCCGTAAAACCCTGTACTAGTACTAGAAGATTAGAGGTGTTACAAGAGAGTAACTAACATAAAAAAGAAAAAGGTGTGATAAGGACAATAGATGTTTGACAGGAAAGAAGAAGCAATTAACCACACCAGAGCACCCGCCAACCACCCACTATAACAGTTTATTGTTAACCTGACAGACCCTACAGCTATAACAATAGTAATAAAAAGTTTGTCCACCAATATTGGATGATGATCACAGAATCTGCAGAGGAGAATATTATATCTCTTTAGTGACAAAGAAGAAAGAAGGATTAAGATGACTTGAGTGTTCCGTTATACATGTAGCTGAAGAGACAGTTCTGGCAGAGGAGAGTTTGCCATTTTTTGAGCATTTATAAAGCTTCATTTCTACTCTCAGGGATGTGTGAGGATTGCAGGCTGAATTATCTCTTGGCTTCTTTATTCTAACTTATCATATTATGATTCGCTGCCCACTGTGACTGCTGCTCTTATACAGGGTCTGTCAGGAGCTAGGCTCTCCCCTATCAAAGGATTCACACAGCTATCTGAATACTCGTATTTCTCTCACTTATTGTTCCTGCTCATAATAAATCATAAAGATTACATCTTTAGATCCTGTTCCATGATGGCTCTAGGTGTTCGACAATAAAACAAAATTTACATCAAATGTTTCAGGCATACTGGCCATTTAACGTGAAACAATTCTTTCAAATACTTATACCTGATAAAGAACACACACACAATAAAAACCAGTTACTGTGGCTATTGATCCCACTTGCTGTTGAAAGACGAATCAAACTAGTAAGTAAAATGGGATTTAAATAAATGTGCTTTTAGAACATTCAACAAAGGAGCACGCAGGTAACAATTTCACAAAAAGGCATAGCTCAAACTTTAATAAAAGAGATTGCAAACAATACTTACATTTGCAAGATGAATTTTTCTCAGAACCCATGTCTACTGTGCTTTGATTGGCCGGACATGCCATACATGAATCTTGCAGGCGTTCACTTTGGTAGAAGCCAATTGGGCAATCATAGCACAAGTTGTCCGTTTCGTTACGATAACTGCCAGCTTCACAGATACCTAAAAGTGCACGCAAAATTTTTTTAAAATAGCGTTTGGCATCAGTTTTGAGATAGCTGAGGTGGTAACAAAGATATGTCTGGTAAAATACCTCTTCAATTATGATCTTATAACGCTTTTTGAAAAATGTATTTCTGGATCTGAATAAAAGAAGGTATATCTGGAAGAAATACCAGTACAATTGGTCGCTTTTAAGGACAAGCAGGCTAATCCAGAGTTTGGGGGTCTTCAGAAATCTTGTCTTACACCAAAAGTGGGCATTGCCCTGCCAGGAGAAGTTTGGTTTCATTGGTGTGTATATTTGTTTGGTTATAGAGAAAATTGTCCTTGCCTTTTAAAGAAATTGAACAAGGGTCCAAATCATTGCCGTCGATTTTCTCAAAACAGCATTTTTCGGGATAGCCCCCTTGTGCTAAAAAGCGACCAATTATGAACAAAGAAATGCATTACTAAAAACGTTACTAGATATGAATGAAAATACTATACCCTACCTACTAATGAAATGGATAGATAGATTTAATTGTAGATGCAGGTACTTACGAATAGAACAGTTACTGCTTGAGACACTTCCAGCACCAATAGTGGTGAACTCGTCACCACATTTTGTGCAGTTCTCAAACCGTGTGGAGAGTGAATCGTTGCGGTAATACCCTCTTGGACATTCTCTGCAGGTCTCAGAGTTCGGAGGATACTCCTCTTGGCCCTCTGGACACGTAACTGTAAAATAAAAAGATAGCAAAGAAAAAATATAAAAAATAAAGAAAATGAAGATATATGAAAGAAAATAAAGATATGAGAAAGAAAAAAAAGAGATAACAAAGAAAACAAAGTTGTTAACGATCCAGCAACAGCTGGGCTCTCGCCCTTCTGTCCAATGCCATGTAGTGATAAGTGCAGGTGCGCTGCAGTTGCCGTAATGTTCCATAGAGTGTGCTGTCAATGTTAGGTCTCGGAGGGAGAAGGGTAGAGAAAACAAAGATAACAATGAAAATAAAGATAAGGAAAATGATGTGAAAGTAAGCTTGCATCCTCCCCCACTCCCACCCTCCCTCTCTCACTTCTCAAACATGCTTAATCCTGCGCAAAAACCTGAGGTCATTATAGATCAGCTGATGCTATGTCTCTCGCAGGCAGGAAACAGTGCACTGTGGTTGTTGTGATGGGGGAAGATATGGTGTGTGTGTGTGTGGGGGGGGGGGGAGGTGTTATACCGTTGAACCTGCCTGCTCTAAATGCCACCTGTCAAAGACAATCATCTGTACATATGTCCACTTCCCAACGACACAACATAGGGTCTGAGCATCGAACCCTTGAGCCCACGACCTCACGACTATGAATCCAAAAGCCTAATTTACAAGACTTACTACAAGTACGAGGGTGGTTGGTGGGTGCTCTGGTGGTGTTTGCTTCTTCTTTCCTGTCAAACATCTGTCACCCTTATCTCTCCTCTTTCTTTTTTTGTATTTGTTACTCTCTTGAAACACCTCTAATCTTTGGCACTTATATGACCTTATTGTGTTGCAAGTGCCGTAAAATACTTACTAAAACAAAAAAAACAAGACTTACTACCGACACCACACAAGAAAAGAAACACACAAAGTAGATTTTTCATCTTAAAATAATACACCTATCTTTATTCATATTTACAAGTAGGTAACAAATGTTTTAAACTAGTACAATCACCAAAATGCCCATGTCGAGAGGTGGACCAAACTGTTGAACATACACATTATCCTTCAGCACTGCAGGATGCAAAGGGCCCTGAGATGGGAAATGTGGCCAACCCCACTGACACTATAGGAGAAGCTATTCGGGCCGACAAATGAATCGAGCAGGACAGCCCAATTTATGACAGATGCCGGACTCCAAGTGTGATGCGTCGGTGGCCTAATGGTTATGCTACCAGACTCGTAATCGTGAGGTTGCGGGGTCGGGAGTTCGAGCCGCGGTCCTGACGTTGTGTCCCTGGGAAAGGCACTTTGCTCGAATTTTTCTCACTTCACCCAGGTGGAAGTGGGTACCCGGCCATAGACAGTGAAAGATCTTGTCAGTATATTAGTGTTTTAGTGCCTTCAAATGGCAGCTTGCACTGTATGCTTCCCAGGAAGTTGAGTTTGTTTCAGAATGCTCACAGGTCTGCTGGGGTAATAGTATAGATTGTGAAGTGCATAGAGCTTGCTGTTGAGTGGGGATTTGCGCTATGCAAATGCTATCTATTATTATTATGCGATCAAGAAGAAGTACTCACATTTGCAGTCAGCCGAGCTTGTGGAGCCTTTGGTCAAAGTGCTGAAGCTCTGATTGCAGTTCAGGCAGCCCGACTGCCATTTGTCTGGTTGGTACGTGCCATAACCACATGGCTCACACACATTCTCTGTTGCATTTAAGAAGTCGCCCGCATCACACGCAGCTGCAAAAATGAACCAAAAAAAATAAATTATTCGAAGCTTCTTTGCTTCATAACTTTGAAAAGAAATATACATATATATACAGAGAGAGAGAGAGAGAGAGAGAGAGAGAGAGAGAGAGAGAGAGAGAGAGAGAGAGAGATAGATAGATAGATAGATAGATAGATAGATAGATAGATAGATAGATAGATAGATAGATAGATAGATAGATAGATAGATAGACAGACAGAGAGAGAGACAAATTTTCTTTATAATTCCAAGCCGTTTACCTGAATAAAAATAAAAATCAGAACAAACAGACGAAACAGAGGTTAAAAGTAAATATGGTACTTTTATCAATAACTGTGAGTTTTATCATTTTTGCTTTCATTAAAACCTTTACGATGCTCCAAACCCAGATGTTTGATGCTCTCACCACCAATCAGTGAAATAACCCCAACTGTATAATGGAGATATCAGCAGAAAATCGATACTGGGGTCAGATTAATAGATTTTCAATTGACACCATTTTCTTCAAGTCTACCATGTCTTTTATTATTTTATTCTAACAAATTGTACAAACTCCCCTTATAAAGCTGATGTATCAATTTCTATAACGCTGAAATCCGAGAAGTAGCTCATTATGTCAGCACACCAGTTCGGCAATTTTAATTGAATTTTGGGGTTTTAGCTGAACAACTTTCATGTCCATTTAAAAGCATATTTCTGTGTCGATTTTACAGGAAAAAAACCTTGATTAAGGTTATAAAAAAAAGTAAACTTTCAGTCTCCAAAGACTATTAAGTTATAAAAATCATCAAACTTTGGCCCCTCCCACCTCCTTCAATCCCAAATAAATTGACTTCTATATGGGTATTATTTTTTGCCCTGAAAAACGAGACAAATGAATAAGCTTCAAGATGGTATCAGTAATTCAACATGCCCCCAAATTGACGAGCGCCTGATTCCACCGCGCCATGACACATACGTGCCTGCCGGCAGAAGAAATTACATCGAGGAGGGTAGAAAAGTCTTTAGCGAATGAGATAAGGCTCCTACTCCAAAGATTCTTACCTTGATAGCAGTCTGCAGCTGACGTCTTGCCATCCCCGTCGGTGGTGTTCTGTAGTGGACATTCTGTGCAGTTCTGGAATCTTTCCTGGAGGCTGTCTCCACGGTACGTTCCTCTTGGACAGCGCTTGCACTGCATGGAGTTTGCTGGTGACTCTTCATGACCAGGGGGACATACAACTGAGGAGAGGGAAAGTCACCCATCATCAATCAGTGGCTCACTGGAGGAGCGTTCGTTACAATGACAGTTGTGTAACGAATAGTAAAAGAAAGTATAGAACAAAGCGATCATGTGTCTTTAGCTATCTACTGTCACTGACTGACGAAACATGCAAGTCAAGTAGCAAAAGGTAACATAAGTGTTCAGAACATCTCTAATGTTAGCTTTAGGCCTTTGGAATACATTTGCAAGGTTAAAACAGCTATTGGTTTTTTACAAAAATAGTCTCAAGAAAGCTATTCATACAGTCATCTGAATAGTATATTATAGTCACAACACAGTGAAATCAGGGACTCGTCAAGTTTGGGCATATGAAGTTATTCGTATATTGTAATCTTAAAGCCTGTTTATCTGTCTTGCTTTTGATGAAAAATTCCCCCCCCCCCCAATGTATCAGTCATAAAAGTCAAGATATTTGTGACTGAAAGAGGTGGAGATCACCTGGCTGGTGTCGGAGGTAAAATTAGTGAGAAAATGGCCACCAAGGTGTGGTGACCTCCAGTGCTGAGTCTTTGGAAGCAGCAAATTAAAATTTATTGTGCCTTTGATTAACGCTTTTTCAGTAAAATCCATTACAAAATTGTGTTTTAAATGGACATAAAAGTTGTTGAGCCAAAACAAACAAAAAATCTAATAAAAAATTGACCAATGGTTGGAAAAAAATGAAAGTGAAGAAACTGGGAATTTTTATAGAATTTTTGTTTTTTTTAGCTCAACACCTTTCACGTCTAGTAAAGAACACATTTCTTTAAGGATTCTGTTGAAAAACATTGATTAAAGGCATAGTCATAAAATATGTAAATTAGTTACAATGGACTCTCAAGTTAAGGAAATAATGCAACTTTGGCGGCCATTTTCTTGCTAGATTTTCACTGAATTCAGGTGACCCCCACCTCCTTCAATCACCAATATCTTGACTTGTATCCAAGATAAATAGATATTTTTTCCCTCAAAAGCAAGGCAATTGGATAGGCTTTAAGATGATACCAATAACTCCATATGTCCCAAAATTGACGAGCGCCTCATTCCACCGCATCGTGACACATTTTAGGACTGTGTGGAAAAAAGAAGCAGGGACTTCAGGATTCTTTTTATCAGCTGCAACACTATTTCATTTGATTGAATTACATGCCCTTGCCTGTTTTTAATGAGGACACCTCAGAGAATGTTTTTAAAAATTGTCGTAATACTCACAGCGACACATCGAGCTGTCTTTGGCTCTGACATTGTCTGTGGTGTAGTTTTCCTGGCAAGGCTTGCAGCTAAACTGGGCTTCTTCATCTTGGTACAACCCATAGTCGCAGTCCTGACACACATACGTGTCACTGACCGTATGGTTCACATACTGGCCAGGTGGGCACACCGCTGCAAAAAGAAAAAAAAATCCCAGTCTATTTCAACTGCAAAGATTACTTATTTTTATGAGAAAGATTTATAATTTTCTTAGTATTTTGTGTCTTTCTCTATTCTAAAATTGATGTCTTTTCAAAACATGTGTGCTTCATGCAGGTAAGTTCTACGTAAATTCATTTTTAAAAACTTCTGTTTTCTTATTTTTTCACTCTCTGTGATTTTCATATTTGCAAAAAAGAGGTAGGGGGAATGAGCATCTGCTAAAGTTGAAATACGGCCAATCAGCACAATGACGTTATACAGGTTTTGATTATAGGTCTGGTGGGGGGAGGGGGCCAGGAGGGGGGGGGGGGGTTGCTGATTCTGCCTTAGTAAGAACATTACCAATTATTTCATCTTCTTGTTCATCTATTAAACATTTTTTTTGGCCTGTCTTTTTTATAACACTTGCTTGTTTCTTTGTGCCTTTTCCATTCTGTCCTCTGGAAAAAAAATGGCCTAGCTTCTGGGTACACTACGCTGGGGGCCTTTTTTGGTATTAGATTTAAGAAATGATAAAAATATTATTAAATGAGTCATTAAATGAAAACAAGTGAACCTATTTTGAAATTTTTTTTTCATCCATTGAATGAACTCCTGGTAAACCAGACCTGTTTTCTGCAATTGCTGAAAAGTAATTCGATGTTGAAGTCGTTGTAAAGGAATGTGAAGGAGCTCGCTGGCACTCCGACTGCAAGTTGTTGGGAGCAGATTCCCAGAGATGAAGAGTTAAAGGAAAGGTCAAAGCAGCCCTCCTCATATAAATATCACATAAAATTTGTTGAGCTGTGTTGATGGTATGTAAACTGCTTATGATCAGTCAGTCAATCTAGCAGTCAATCAGTGATTTAAACTAACTCTATAAACAAAATAGATTACTTACGAATGTTGCAATCATCCTGACTCGTGCTGCCGTTTCCTCGAGTTGTGAAATTGGAGTCCGGGCACTTTTTACATTGGTCTTGAATGACGCCCTCTCGGAAATAGCCACGCTCACACTCCACGCAGCCAGAAGCTTCGATCTCAAAGCCAGGATCACAAAACGCTGTAAGGGAGAAAGAGTTTTTGGTGTTTTATGGTTTCAAAGTATCCACATAAAATATCATAGTATTTGTAATTCAAACTCTTTAGAAATATAAAAATTTACAAATGCAACAAAAGCGCACTACTAGCTCTGTTGGCATCATGCCTCGATATGGTGCAGATGGCCCTGGTTCGAATCCCCAAGGAGGTGTTCTTGAAATTTGTTTGATTATTTCTGGAGTTTTCCAGGTACTTCCACCTACTTACCTTGGTCCTCAGAGGTTCTGGCTCTTTCAAAATTCTACAAGGTTGAAAAGGTACATAAATCCATACAATCATCGATTACGAATAATGTTTAACTCTTTTCCTACTAGGCCAAAATCCACCACTGGCCCAGGGCTTTTCCCTGACTTATCTTTACGCCCCTACCCCACCAAAGGAAAATGTCAAAACATCCAAATAAAACACACACAAACCATACTATATGGCCCATGAAGCTGAAGGGAAAAAAAATTTATCTGATGGTGATACAATATTGAAGATTTATTCCAATTATATTAGTTTGGGGTTTCTAAAAGTGATTATGCAATATCGAAGGTGTCATATGAAATCAACTATTTTAAAGCTTTGAAAGATCTTAGCTTAAAAAGCCCTCAAACAGCATCATTTAAACTTCCTGGGTAGGTTGCCTTAAGTAATGCAAAAAACTGCTGAAAGTTATGTATGTGTACCTATTATAGAAGTGAAAATGTGAGACATTTACTGAGTCAGGGGAGCACTTTCTTTTACATTTTTACGTTTTGAAGTTGACAGAAAAAAGCACTGAAATGACTAAAAATCATCTGTCAGTGCTATATTTTCTTTCATATCCGCTAACAGGAAGTCTATTCTCTTGTTTCAAAAACGTGGATCGGCCGAGAATTTCGTGTCTTTTCATTACTGAATTGGAATAGATAGTGAGCCACTCGAGCAGTATTTTGCGGCTCTCGGTCGTGTGAAGCCACATCCGCTCCAGGTAGGAAAAGTGTTAAGTGAGTGCACATTTCAGTGTTGCATGCAGAAGATGTGAGTTTGATTCCCGACTGGGGAAATTATTTTGTTGACTTCCTCCATCTGTCTACTGGAATACTGTATACCTGTCAACTGGAATTAGACTTGACAGGCAGGTTTGAAATAGCCTGCCTTCTAAATGATCTAAATTGTGTTGATGAAATTGAGAAATATTTGCAATTATTACAACTGAACAAGGCTGAGCGTAGAACATGACAGGTCTACCTGACCTCACTTTGATCATAGAATCAATCTCGTTGAAGGTCATATCTCTGATAAACGCCTAGCATCAGTTAAAAGAAGGCTACCCATTCTCAATCATAAGAAATACGGAATTGACGTACAAACACATAAACTTGAACTGTTAGCCCCTCCCTGTTCTGTTCCATGTGAAACTGGGCATGGATGACAATATTGTCTTCCAGATTCATCCTGGTAGAAGTTGCGAAAGCATTGTTGACAAGAGCCCGAAGTCACGTTGTAGAATGAACCCAGGCTGCAGTTTTCTGAAAAGCACACAACACGTAGAATTTTTAAGCAATTGCTTAAGCCAACACTGAGACTTAAACAGAAACAAACATTTTAAAAATATTTCGCCTCTTAACCCTATCCGTTGGCCCTGGGGTCATTTTGTATTCTTCACATTTTAGAATACTTCTAGTACGTAGATCTTCTTGAAACTTTCAGTATTTTTCAAAAAATTATTTTGACAGACTGCTATGCAAAGTGTACGGTTCAAATTAAAGAGTAAATTTCCTCTTTGGAAAGTGGTGGCATGGAGTTCCCCACGTCATATGGATATGATACTAAACACGACATACGGATAGGGTTAATAAACACTCTAAGCTTTATGAGCCATTTGGAAGACTATCAGCTACCAGAAATTGAACACCATCATCTAAATTCTTCTGAAAACATGAAAAATAGCTAATGTAAATCATGAATTACGAACTCACTTTCAGATATTCTTGTATCATCTTTTCCTTATTCACACTCATCTCAACAATGAGAGGGGAAAAAAATTACTTTTACCCTCATCTCCTGAATGTTAAACACAAAAAAAACTGATTTCCCTCTGAGATAATAAAGTATCATCTTATCTCTTATCTTAGCTCTTATCCCTGAACAAGTGCGGTACGTAATTCGCTCACCAACACAATCTGCGTCACTGTTGCTTCCAGCTTGAAGAGTTGTCTTCGAGTCACTACACTTGGTGCACGACGTCTCGTTGGGGCCGCTGGTGTAGGAGCCTCTCTCGCATAATTCACAGGTCGCGTTCTCAGAGTAGTAGGAGCCAGGGCCACACGTGACTACAGAGAACAAAGTATTTCAAGTACCGGTAAGCACTTGATGACACTAGTACCACAATTAGGATCATATAAGTGCAGAGAGTTAAAAGTGGTCCTGGCTGAGCGTATAGATACATTAAAACAGGTCACACATAGTGTTGAGAGCTCATGCAGAACTGGCATAAAGAGAGAGAGAGAGAGAGAGAGAGAGAGAGAGAGAGGGAGAGAGAGAGAGAAAGAGGGAGAGAGAGAGGGGTGGGGTGGGGGATACAGTTCATGTCCAATGGACACACTTTTCTGCATGTATGTGTAACCAAGCTGTGTATTCTAAGTACCGGTGAGCACTAATTTATCACACTAGTACCACAATAAGGGTCATATAAGCGCAGAGGATTAAAGGAGTAACTGGAGAGCAACAAAAAAAAAAAAAAAGAAGGAGGAGAGATATGGAATGATAGGTTGATAGGAATGAAGGAGCAAACCATTTCAGAGCACCTGCCAACCATCAACACAAAGAAGAAACACATACTTTTGAGAATATACAGCCAAGATGGTCTATTTTTATGAAGAACTGGAATTGATGCTTGATAGGAAAAAAAAGGTAACTATAATAAAGTAGATTTTTTTAAAAGAGAAGTGAGTGGCGAGTCATAATTGCTGAGGTCATTTTCAAATCATCACTGGGCTAGAAAAATGGTATAACTCAGAGATTGTGCCAGAATGCAACTAGCCTTTTATTTTGTTTGGTGGTACTGTATCTATATTTTGGTAAAACCAAAACCAAAATACACTAGCAGTCTCAACAGAAAAATGCACTTTTAGATGATAAGAAGTCTAGTTAAACATTTTTTTCCATTTATCTCAAAAGGAGCAAAAATGAGATGTACAATTGGTCACTTTTAAGCACAAAGGGGCTATCCCGAATAATGCTGCTTTGAGAAGATGGAAGGTAAATTTTTGCCCCTGGTTCAGTTTCTTGAAAAGACGTGGAGAGTTTTTCTCTATAGCCAAACAAATATACACAGCAATGAAACCAAACTTCTACTACAGGTAGGGAAATGCCCACTTTTGGTATTGGTCAAGATTTCTAGGAAACCCCTGGAAATCCAGGTTAGCCCGCTTGTCCTTAAAAGCGACAGGTTTTGTTTTCGCACTAACGAGATGTTTGTAATTTTGACACCTCCACTTCAAGAATTGCCTACGACAATGGTACCTCAGACATAGCTAAACTCCCATCATCTCCATCAACGCTCTCATCAGTACCACCACTATAGTAACTATACTACAAAGACCACTCCTACCATCGTTACGAATTGTGATAATCGTAAAAATAATAAAAATAACAACGACAACAACATTAATGATAAATAATAATAATAATAATAATAATAATAATAATAATAATAATCATCATCATCATCATTATCATAATCATAATAATAATAATGATACTGATAATGACAAAGATAACAGTAACAATTATACTGATACTTATAAGAGTTATCTATATTTCCAAGGTCTCAGTTTGAGACGTGAAAAGTGACTATATTTACCACAGTTGGCCCCAATCAGCACTCTATTCCCTGCACACGAAGCAACCTCGGAAAACTGGGTTGTAGACACCTGCAGTTGTGCCCCACCTATATCCTGTGGATGGAAAAATACTTATATTTTATAAGTAATTCCTGATCACAATCACCATCATCACCATCATCATCATCATCATCATCATCATCATCATCATCATCATCATCATCATCTAATCATCATCATCATCATCATCATCATCATCATCATCATCATCATGTTTTAAAGTAGAAAAAAAAAAATAACTTGGATAGGGTTAGACATATTTAATCAGATGTTCGTATCGGCCTGGATGTTCAACGTTTCGCCTATAGGGCTTCTCCAGGAACGTAGTATCAGGGGAAAAAAGTGATGACGCCAGTTGGACAATATTAAAAAGAGCCGAAGCTCGGAAAAAGAAAAGCTAACTAGTTACTGCAACGGTCCTGGCTGAGCGTATAGATACATTAAAATTGGTCACACATAGTGCTAGGAGCTGACGCAGAACTGGCACAAAGAGAGAGAGAGAGAGGGAGTGAGAGAGAGAGAGAGAGAGAGAGAGAGAGAGAGAGAGAGAGAGAGAGAGAGAGAGAGAGAGGGAGGGAGAGAGAGAGAGGGAGAGAGAGAGAGAGAGAGAAAGAGAGAGCGAGAGGGAGAGAGAGAAAGAGAGGGAGAAAGAGAGAGAGGGATGGGGTGGGGGTACAGTTCATGCCCAATCGACACACCGTTTCTGCAGGTTTGTGTAACCAAGTTGTGCTTCCTTGCATGTATAATATAATAATTGAACATAAATAGTACTGAGTGCATTTCTTTGATGACACTGAATCTTCATTCGTATGTTGATATCCTGGTATATTGACCCAAAATCTTCCTTGTGGATCAATAAGTTTTTAATTACCTTATCTCACCTAACCTAACCTTACCTTACCTTACCTTTCCTTATATTGTCTTATCTTATCATTTTGACACAATCTGACAAAACCCTCCAGAATCAAACATCTTTGATTGTCAAGGCCACAATCAGGTCCACTTTGATGAAATCACGACCAGCAGCCAATCACAAGGCTGGTAATATGTCACATGACATTTGTAAGGGTCAGATTTGATGAAATAAAGAGAGGTCTTTCTCATATTATAGTGTGCAGTGTCCAGCGCCACTACCTGATGACCCGATCTGATCTTAGTTTAGTGTTAGTAAGAGTTTTACAGCACTTGCAACACAATAAGGTCATGTATAAGTGCCGAAGAGTAGAGGTGTTTACAAGAGAGTAACAAACACAAAAAAGAAGGAGGGGAGAAAAAAGATGATAGATGCTTGATACGATATTAAAGAAGGAGCAGACCACACCAGAGCACCCGACAACCAACCACCGATCTGATCTGCGATAATGCATTTGACTAATGGATAGCTATTTTAAGACATGAAAATAGTGAAGCTGTTCTGGCCACAGCTGGGTCTCATTAAAACGGACCTGTTATCTTTACAAAATCAGAAAATATCAGTGTAACATCACACCACATCAGTATGTGTGTCTGCCTACTTCGTGTGTCCCACTCAGCCTGGTTTGGTCCTGAAAGACAGGGTTGAAAAAGCCCATTTTCAACTCCGAAGATGCAGATTTTGTCGATGTGGGTGTAAAACAATTTAGGGGCTGAGATGAAAAAACCCGCTTCTTCCATTACAGCACTTATGAGAAAATCAGCTTTTTAAAACGCCGCTTTACCCACGAACATGCATAGAAAGAAGATTTTTTGATGGCTTTTATGAAGTCTGTGTTGGGTTTTGGCTGAAAAAACTTTGTGCATCTGATAGCCTGTAACAATGTGTATTTATGAGCAAAAAATCTCGATTTTTATCAAAATGTCACTTAGCTGGTTTTGCAAATCACCCCGTCACTTACAGTCAAGCAATAAAGAAAACTGATCCCCCCCAGGGCAGTGCTACTGACTGAAGTGTCTTTAGGCCATTCCCAAAGGGGGGATATCAACGTGTTCTTATGCACAGTAGAATTGTAAATGGGCTGATTTATCAATGTCATGCTCATACTGTGCCTGAACAACATACAGCGAACTGCTGTTTTTTCTTTCCTCATCCTTACTATCGTCATTTTCCTCTACTTCTTTTGTATGTTTGTCTCTCTCTTGTGAACTGCTATTTCCGGGGTGCCTTGATAGTCGAAGCAGACTTTGTGCTGTTGAGGCTAGAGAGGTGAGCAGAGTAAGCCTGATTTCCCATTTGGACTTCTCTGTTAACATCCACCCCTTGGCGCTCATATGACCTTATGCAGTACCGAGTGCCGTAAAACCTTACTAAAAACAGGGTTCCTGCTATCAACTCCCCAACAAATTCAAGGAGATTTCAAGGAGAAATTTTTAAAATTCGAAGAGATTTGGTCAAGAAATGAATGCCAAAAGCCTATTTCTGATAGGCCTACACTTGTCTGAAAGGAATCATAGTTTCGATTTTCTGACCAAAATTTTTTTTATGTCCGATCCGTCGAAATTCAAGGAGTTTTCAAGGAGGTTTTTCCATGAATGCAAATTCAAGGAGTTTTCAAGGACTACTTGAATTTAAGGAGGCCGCAGGAACCCTGTAAAAACTACAAAGAAAACCGACTCACGCTGGCATCAAAGTCGGTGCGTCCGTGCACAGCTTCCATGAGTACTTCCATCGCCGTGCGATTGTTTCCCATGCTCACTGCTTCAGTGTCTCTTCTACGTCTCGAGGTAAGGCCAGTTGGAGTCAAAATGGGGCTGGGGGAAAAAAAGTGTTGATGTTATTTATTTACAGTGTCAGTTAAATGGTAGATGAGCAGCAGCAGCAGCAGTAGCAGCAGCAGCTCCTCCTCCCCCTCCTCCTCCTCCTCCTTCCCCTCCCCCTCCCCCTCCTCCTCCTCCATCCTCCTCCTCCTCCTCTT